TGCGAATCGATTCCTTTGCATTTCGAGTTATGTTTCGTTAAAGGATGAATCCGAGCGATTGCAATCTGTCTTCGAATTCATTTTCCCCAAGGGTAAGTGTTCCTGGCCCTGAAATATGCATAGCCACCTTTACTTCCTCTTTCTATATCTCCTTCAGGCCAACGTAAGTGTAGATAGTGGTCAGCCGCGACTCGCCCGCTCTTTCCTATCTCGTCCATGCGATAGTATCAGCATTCCAAGTTTGTCGAGTTTTCTGAGTGTGGAATCGGGAAAAACTACTTTTAGTGGTGGCTTATCGCCCTGTCGCTCCTCGCCGATTCTCGTCACACAGAATGGCTCATTTAGTGAATCAGAACCGGATAGGAAAACATTTGATTCTGGTTTACCGGGCACTTATGACGCTGATGATGATGGTGGGTTGGACGAAATCGGCGAAGCCGACGAAGTTGATTCTAATGCTTCGGATATCTTCTCATCGTCCCCAAATCTTGTTCCCAACCCTCCATCGAATGATGAAAGTGTTGATGCGGGTTGCGACTTTCACTCCATTAAGACTTTTGAGGCGTCTACTTCCCCTCCTAACAAAATTTCTTTGGACGGAAATTCAAGAAATGCTTATTCGCTAAAAAAGACAAGAACTTGTTCTAAGAGGAAGATATCCAATTGGTACCAGGTGAGGCTTCATTGTTGTACTTGCCCCACTTTTTACACCATCATAATTTGGTAAGGTGGATATTATTGGGTTGTTCTGTATCAATTACGAGAGCTTATTTCCCACTGACTGAAAATGTTATGGTTGAGGAATGCTACCGAAGCTGTACCACTTAATGGATCTTCTTATATATGCGCAGTTCTTGAGAATTTTTGGGCTACAATTGTTGCCTTATTTCCTCTTATCATTGGTATCAGGTTCCTGTGTGTCTCAATGCCATTTTGTTCGTCCTCTATCAATAATTCAGATTTGTTTTGTCAAGAAGTTGCATGCTCTCTGTTATTGTTTTTTAGGTCAAGAGGGAAACGCTTGTAAAATCATATCGGGCTAAAGTTAACCATTTCAAGAAGATTTTTGATGGTACACCCGTGGACACGGATCGCCTTCTTGTTGGTATGATTAAGCTATAATGCCATTCATAAATCTAAGTTTAAAACTTGCATCCATTCGTAACTATATGACTCAAATTCTCCCTTTCTGTAAGTTTTACCGGGTTTATCCACCAGTATTATTGATATTCTGGCATTTTGTCCATGTTACTGAATCAGTAAATGCTTCACTCCTTTTGACGGCATTCACATTCGTGCAACTTGTATAAAGTTTCTCCAATGTCCACTTTATTCACTTAGGTGGTTGAAGTTAAATTTCGAGAAGTACCTACGACTATTCATTTTTTGTGCTAAAGACACCTGTGTGAGATAAAATACAGATGTACTAACGCTCCTCTTCTCTTGGTTCTTTCTTTGGCTGCATAGGAGTTCAGTGATTGTGGCGATTAAATGTTGGCTTACCTGAATGTGGCCAGATAGCACTGTTTGCATACTTCCATATGAAATGTTTTCGTGCATTTGAAATTCAATCGCTATTGTTCCTGATCTACTACTAGGTGAAAAAATTCATAAATCAGAACTGATCATTTTGACCGCAACGCCTGTTTATGGAGCAAGGTTATCATTGATCATTGTTATCGTCACGATAAACTTAGAGTTGAAGCGATAATAGAAGTCAACTCCGATTTTTCAATTCCTGGCATGCATTATCCGTTGTTGAATAATTCTTCAGTTTTATACTTTCAGATTACTCATGCGCCCTTGTAAAGAACAAAAATGGTCTCCTCCTTTTGGGACGAATGTACATAACAGAAAAATGGATTTGTTTTTATTCCAAAATCATTTATGAGCTGAAGGTATGCTTTCAATAAAGCAGTAGATGATGGAGTATCCATTTGTTACACAAATTATCTGGAAAACATAGCGGTATCTTTTGTCTCGCGGTTAAGTGACCTCAAAATGAGGCTTACGTAGCTGTTCCACAATCCATTGGAGACTCATAAGGATTTCGTTTGACACCTGTTAATGCTGTCATTTTTAACTGTAGTTTCATGGCACAAGCAAGACATCAAGGAAATGAAGTAATTCCTTCATTACCTGTTGCTTCCCTCTGTAGCTCCACATATCGGTTGACGACGTTCAGACTGTGTCAAAAGCCAAGACGGCTCGCCTCATTCCAAACGCCATTCAAATAACACTTAAGTCGAACAACGAGAGATACTTCTTTACGTCTTTTGCATCTCGCGAGAGAACTTTCGCCATCCTCAAAAAAGTCTGTGAAAACAGTAGAAACGGTGGTGTAAGTTCTTCCAATTTTTTGGTCTATGAAAGTTCATTTGTAGTTGGTATTATTAATTGACGTTTGAATCAAATTTTACCGAAATGGTACCAACCTGCTCCCTTAGGCACCTGTCGGGATTCCTTCAAATTCGTTGGTTCAAAGATTCTGTTCCGTGTTATCAAGGGGCAATTTTATTTAGATAACTGGTCTGTTACATGTTCGGACCTGCTTTCATTGCTTATGCAAATCACTAGTGCATACGGCCTATAAAAAATGAGTGTCGGTTATGTTTTGCGGCTTGATTGTCGTAGCATAGAAGCCTGGCTAAGCAACAGTACTTACCAAAAAAACGCATCTGAAGCCTTGCATTACAGGTTACTTGTTACAAAGGTCGAATAGATATCAG